ATTCATTTCAATTATTTGTTAGTTATTAATATGCTTAAACTTAGATACTTAAGTTAAGTTTTCTTTGTCATCATTTCTGTCGTTAAGTTTTACCTTGCAAGTAAATAAAACCGAGTAATTATCATTCTGTGTTTTCTTCTTCAACTTATCACGGCAATAGTAACAACAATTAGATAATCATTGGCTGTTGCGGGTCAGATTGATCACTGGCGGGCCGAATTTGGCCCGCGGGCCGTAGTTTGGAGACCCCTGATGTAGGGTTATGAAGCATTTGTCAAGAGCTTCAGAAAGACAAGACCCTCTTTCCATTTAATTTTTTTCCCAGATGACCCCCAGTCGCCATCTTGAAAGTTTCATCTGTCGATTTCACTTCAAAATGAAGCATTCATGCATTAATTTCATCATCCTAAATTTCAATTTCAAAAATAAGAGGGGAAGGGACATTAAAGAAAAGCAGTGTATGAAAGTTCAGGTTTGATGTGGCAGAAAAACTTTACTGAGAAAATTTGACACAATCGGGATTCGAAACCAGCTTTCTTGTTCTCTTTAGACAGGCGAATTCATCAACTACGTTATTGGCGTTATACTTTCAGAAATTGATTTTTCTTTCATATGTCTGCATACAGATTGTNTCTGCATACAGCAGATTTGATTTCAGGCCAAAGAATCAGATATTTGAATATTTTCAGGATAACTCTCAGTAAGATATTACAATAAGCCAATATTTTATATTTTTGAAATGGAAACTTACTGATTGACTCCAGTCGCTTGATGTTTTTGGAAGATTTCAGGTAAATATTTCTCAGATATCCAAAAAACACTCCCAGTACCAATACCAGAACTAAAGTATATGGACTCACTATTATCACTAAAACCAGAGAACCTGCCATCTGGAGAAACATCTGTAGAAATAAAAAAAAGTGGATGTAGCCGTTACTACGTGGTAGGAAATCATAATGAAGAATTTTTTAATGTGTAGGTTTGAAAATGTCCTCATAAGGCCCAACTGCAGTAACATTAGTTACAAATAAAAGTGATAAAACACATAGAAAGTTTCCATTCTCTTTCCTTCATCATAAAAAAATACTTTTTTCAAATGAAGAAATACATGTAAAGTGAGTTAGAATTATATCAAGGTTACGTGCAACGCCATCTGCCCGCGAATAGATCAAGCAAGGAGAATGACAATTTTTCATGATGAATTTCACTAGTTCGGACTTCAGTTGTCTAATATATAGAATGATTTGAAATCCCTGAAACAAATAAAGGTGATATCACCTCCTTCAGTGATGATCTTTATTCTGCTCATTGGAGTACAATGTATACAATGGACAATGCTGATGATATGCTATTATTCTGGAATACCAATTTGATACATAATAATAATAATAGTACGTCTTTATTCACCATAAAAATACAAATGGAATAGACAAAAATAAAATATAACAGAATACAGAAACAATAACAAAAATAAAGAAAAAAAACTTCCAGTATATGGTGAATAGGCGGAGTATCAGCCAAGGCTGTTTTTCAACTCAACCTGGGAGAAACTATAGATAAATAATATGAACACAAGTCGAGTTAACANGTTTTTGCTTAATATAATTGTTATTTACAACTATTTATTTTCAATTCTTCTTTTTTAGTTGTTTCAGGGATTTCAAATCATTTATATATTAGACAATGGAGTCCGAACCAGTGAAATTCATCAAGCAAGGAGAGTTACAAATAATAAATCATACATACATACAGGGTGAAGCTAATATAAAGCGTGTAATAAATAAACAATAATATAAAATAACGTATATGTGATCTGCAATGAAATTTAAAATTTTTATTTTTCGTAAAAATTTTCAAATCTTGAAAGGAAAGGAAAATCAGAAAGCAAAATAGCCATCCAACAATTTTGATGGATTTTCTTCAGATTTCTACAATACATGTTTTCGTATCAACAATACGAATATTATAGAAAACATATATATACTTTACCTGACCAACATCAAGTAGCGTTCTAGGAAGCATCTCATCAATACCACCAATATCTTTCGAAACTCTGTTCAAAATTCTTCCGCTGGGATTAGTGTCGAAAAACCTCATGGTAGCATTTATGATCCCCTCGAATATAAATTTATGCAATCTCCTGGAACACACCATTGCCAGAGTATAGAAAGAAAATGACCTGAACATTTGAGCCAGCAGTAAACAAGTAAGTAGGGCTCCATAAATATATAAACAAGTGTTAGTGGATAATTCCGCAAATAACGGCCTTTGTGGTGAATTGTTCGTGATTTCAACGGAAGCATTTAGCTGTGTTGCCGTTCGGTACTCTTCGATATTCGTCCAGGTGCTGATGAACCAATCGGTTCCACTTCCAAAGATTTGCGCGAAGAAATAAAGGAAAATTACAATAGAAACGTTACAGCAATTGGCTCCTGATGATAGATATTTCAGTAATAAGGAACCAGACACTTTACCCTTGGATGATTCTTCTTGCATATCTTTCACTTTGATCTCTTCTTCTTCGTCATCACTTTCTATTTCTTCTTGTAGGTCATCATGAACACTCTCCATCAGGCTCTTAGCACTCAAACAACTGACTACCGAAACTGTTCGTTTCTGAAAAAAGAATTGAATGTAATTATATTTTTTTTCAGAGATAGAGTTTCAATATCCTGAATACTTGATTATAGTGATGCGCTGAATAGAGTTTGTGACAAATTTTAAAAAAAACTTTGGCTTTCTACTTTTTCAGCTTTCCACAAAAAAGGAAGGGAAAAATCAGTTTCATGTCTCATGATTTTTATACAGGCTGATTCACGGTGGATGGCACATTAGACGTTTCTGGTGAACCAGACAACGGATCACTTTGAAAATTTAATGGAGGGCATATTCGGACATTCTCTAGCCAACTAAAATATTTTCGACAATGCGGTGTTGCCGCTTCTATT